CATGTGATGCAGTGGATCTCGTACGAGGCGTGCGTACGTCGAACCAGGTGCACCGATGATGGGGCCAACCTCGACAATAAACTCCATTGTAAACANNNTGCTGGTTGCTTTGGAATGAGCACCCTCACCGTACCACCAGTTTGGAATGGAATTGCCTCACGTGGGAGGAATGGAGTCTTCTCAAACTTGAAGTCAGGTTGGGTTGACCAGTCATTCACTGCGTGGAATGGGGAGTCCTTTGTTGAAGGATTGATGACCATTGGTGAGATGGAGTTGATGTGAAGTCCCAATAGGGGTTGTGTTGACATGATTGTAGTAATTAATTTGGTGTAATAAGATGCTGTTGCTGATGTAAGTGCGCGTGATTGTTGTCACTCTTGTTTCTATGTGTTCTGTTTGATGTTGTTGTTTGGATGGTAGGGTATGTTTGTTTAGAAATATAGTAAAGTAGTTTGATTTAGAGGAATTGGAAGTCGTGGTCGAACGATCTTACTGCACTTGGTCCATGTCTGCTTGATCCACTCTGATCTGGTAGGTAGTGGGTAAAGATGGCCTTGTGATCCGCATTGTGATACAGGTTCTTCTGACGTTCGAGTGATCTCGACGTTTCGATGTGATCGTCTCCCCAATAACGTGACATGTTGTCTCTTGCTTGATTCTGTATTCCACCGAGTATGCGGTGCTTGTTGTCACCAAAGACCTCGAATGTCTTGGGAGCAAATTGTGACATCACTTCTGGGTTCTTGTTGTTCTGTATCTGAGTCGCCAACACATCCAGGGGGAAATGATTGTTTACCATCTCCTCCTTCACCTTATCTTGTACTGACCGTATATTGCTTGATAGAGTAGATAACCTGTACCTGCTGCCAATGGTAGCAATGTCAATAGTATGTTGCTGTTCATTATTATTATTATTATTTGTTTGGTTGTGTGTAGTTGTTTGTTCTCAATCACATACACACAACTAAAGTTTAGATTTAATTCAAACACCCAACAAGAACAAAACACCCCAAAAACATGAAGAACACCAGCAAGAGACTCACAATGCCCTCATCTGGTCGCCACCCTTATGAACGCAAGAAGATGTTGTTCACAAGAGATCTTCCCACCAAGCCAAAGACCCCATTTGAGGTTGAGCTTGGTCGACTGCACAACACAGACCCACTTGACTATGTTCACCAAGCACAACAACAAGTTAGACTTCAACAACAAGGTCGTGATCGTGCAGTCATTCAAAGTGATATAGATAGAAAGCTGGAAGAATACCAAAATATACTTCCTCATGATGTAGTTGGAAGGGAACGTGTTCAACATCAGATACTACAATTGACAGATGAACAGAATGCGCCTGACCCAGATCATTTTCAACAGTTCCTCGATGACTTTAATCATTGGTTAGTTGGTCGAGGTAAGGAAGAAGATCACTCAATCATACCATGGGGACGCCAACCACTCACCCGTACTCATCCATCAATCACAGCCTATCTCAAGACATTCATAGACAACAGAACAGACTTTATCAATGAGATTGATCGACTAAAGACATTCACACGTATCGACAATGTGACATTGGATACGTCCTATCTCTACTTCAAGTACATTGTTCGTGGTCGCATCGATGATCCATCAACACTCGGTTACCTTAAGGAATGGGACACCATGTTCACTAAGGTGCGACGAGAAGAACAGGAACTCTATGGTATATCTGATGATGCGGCTGTTACATTGGACTACTTGAACAGTGAGTACAATGCTGCTGGACCACCATCACGAACCTATCAAGCACTGGCTGCCAGTAAGCTTCCCAACAAGATGTCAGAGTTCTCTGCTCTACTGAAACAGCGTGACATTGATCGATTTGAACAGAGAGGCGACTCGGGCAATTACCCCGACACAGTTGATGGCAGGAAGGCAGCAGCAGAGTATCATCATAAATGGAAATCTACAATCATCGAGCAACGAATTCGTCGCAATCAACTCTTCACTCAACTGTCACAGCACCGACAAGAACGCAAGGACATCAACGCCCTACTATCGGATTGTGAGGCAGAGGAGTACACACGCGACAGAGACACACTGGAGGGTCTACTAAAGACCCGGGCCACACTCAAGAGTACTCTATCCAATCTAAAGAACCGATTCGAGCGAGTCAAACAGTTGGGTATGTATGAACAGTTCATATCACCCGTCGATGCCAAGGCAATCCAGGATGAGATTGATGCAAGAGAAGCTGACCATCTTAAGGTCAAATCAATGGTAACTGACCTCGCTTCAAGGTTGGGTCTCGATAGCGACGAGAAGAAGTTAGGTCTCAAAACATACAGGATGGAGATCTATCGCAAACACCAACGACAATCAATGTTGGGTAAGGATGTGGTCGATGCTCAGGGCAAGGATGATTCTTTCCTCAATACGCCACCAAACGTCTCAAAGGTGCTCACCAAGTTCATATTGAGTAGTGCAAGCAATGATCCCCAGGGTGAGCAACAGTTGGTTCTATCAGATGCCGATCGTAAGTTCATCACCGACACCATACATGAGAAGACAGGGATTGATCCATTCAATCACATCATCCGCCAGTACCACCCACCTGATGATGTGCGCGCACTAATGATCGAAATTATTATCACAATCAAGACAGG